TGTCCCCACTGCTCTCACAACTGGTGTTTCAGCCCCAGTCCCACAACCCTTACCGAATTAACATGAGATATCTAATAAAGAAAACAAATCAAACTAAAAAGATGTATTAAAACGGGCAATAATACAATAACACAATTAAGAAAAAAAAATTACAAGTAAAAACAAAATAAAGTAACAAAAATACAAAAAGCAAGCTTTATTCCTCGTATTCTGAACATATCTTTAATTCCAGAAACCGCGAAGCGGTTACTTCCCAGCCCCCAGTGACAGCAGGCGGTCCGTCCCCCCCCGCGCCACTCCAGGCCCCACCCCAGCCGCCGGCTACCCGAGCCACGCAGGGCGCGCCAGAAAGAACTGGACACGGCCGGCCTCCAGATACCGCCGCAGGCGTCGCGTCCGTGCTCACCGGCGCTCCCCCGATCAGCTGCCGCGGGGGGCCCGTCCTGGCGGAGCGCCGCTCCTCGGATCGCGCATCCGCAGCTCCCGTGACTCCCCGCTTCACCGCCCAACTGACGCCATTGCCGCCCCAACGCACGCTATTTATGCCCACGGGCAGACAGCCAGCCAATCACAACCCGAGGCAGCGCCTGCCGCCTCCACCAATCCCAGCCCGCCCATTCCCGCCGCGCTCGGCTCCGCGACTCCCCGCGGTCCTCTCAAGCGCTGCTCCCGCCGCTGCCATTGCAGTGGCCGCGTCCGCCCGCTCCCTGCCGCCTGCCCGTTTCCCTGGACCAGAACCTGATCCCGACCAGGACCTGAACTGGAAGCTCCCGGCCGCCCTTCCCGTCCGCAACAGCGCCTGCCGAGGCAGCGGCAGCGGGGACACTGCTCCGCCGGCTCCCAAAGCGGCGGTGGCGGGAGAGGCGCCTCAGACGTACGGGCGAGCGGGGCCAGTCTGAGGGGCCGGGCCGCGACTGAGCGGCCTGAGATTGGCGGGACCGCTTCCGGATGAAAAGGGCGGCTATGATTGGACAGGGCGGACGGAGAAAGGCGGGCCGTGATTGGCAGGCTTGGGAGCCGTCAGGATGCGGCCCGTGGGAGCGTGGGGTGGAGCTCGGGCTGCCCGAAGGGCTCGCAGGCGGCGGCGGTGCCGCTCGCGAAACCCCCGTCCCCTTCTCCGGCCCTCTCTCGTGCCCAGGTCCCGGCGAGAAGACCCCCGCAGAGCCCCTACCGGAGCGCCCCATCGGCACTCGGGGCAGGAGGCGGAGAGCAGTGTAGCCCGGGAGGGGTTCCGGGTCGTCTTTGCGACAGCAGGGCGGACCGGGGAGCGGCGGCGATTTGGTGAGGAGAGGGCTCGGGAGCGGGGAGGGCGTGCAGCGCCCGCTGCGGGCTCTGGGTGCCTCTTCTACCGCAGTGCTTCCGCTTCTGCGGGGACTTGGCCTGCCCCGACTGGCCGAGATCAGCACCCTGGCCAAAGTGAAGTGCCTGCGTCCCCCTGCCCGCCCTCCGCCTGCTGCGGGCTCGCTGCTCACCCTCGTCGTCGGATGTTATAGATGATAAAACAATATTGGCTTTCACATTCATAGATTAGCTTTTTGCATTACAAGTATTTTGATATGGTAAAATTATACTTACTTTTATAACTGCTTTGTATAGTGTAATACGCCAGTTTATGTATGCACTGTATATTTCAAATGAATAGTAGCGTGATAAATATATCGTAGGCTTTAGCAAAATGTTGAAATAGAAACTAAAGTACTTCTATGTAACTAACTCAGAAAATGGTGTAAAGCAATTATTCTGTTTCTTATAACTGCAGACTGCCCCTACCAAGTGATAATAGTGACAAAAAGAGCTTAAGCATCCAGGAAGCATTTATCGACTCTTATCGGTGTTATCAGGGAGTGTGAAGCAACAGGATAAAACTACAGGAAGAAATAAAATACGTAGACCTCATTTACAGAACGTTCTGCAGACAAGTCAGAGGTTAAAACCAAACAAGAGAGTTCCTGGAACATCAAAAAGTCAAAGGAATGCTTGAATAATGTGTAAGTTAATGAATATGCATATAACCTCAGCAATGTAACAGTATATAGTGAACATGATTTTAAGCTACCTCTGTGCTCTTTGGCTGTGTGCTAAAAGCATCCCAGTGCCGGATTATTTTCTCCTTTTATCCTTTATTAAACTTTTAAAAATTTTAAAGAAGGAACTCTGTTTATCACATCAGTGAAGCTTAAGCTGATCTGCATCCAGGTGTTTTGGGACCTGCTGGGGGAGGCCATCGAGGTAAGTGTGGGGCTACTGCAGTGGAGGCCAAGTATTTCAACACAATAGCATAATCAGCAACGTTAATTAATTTTGTGTTCTTCATGCAAGCCTCAGCATTAAGAACGCTACCAGCCTCTACTAGGATTAATAATACGCATAGTAAGTGTTACTAGTATTAATATTTAGGTAAGAATTGTTAGTGTTAACACTGGTAGTCAGTATGTTAGCTGGTGTTTACTGTGAAGCTCTGCTCTCCCACAGTATGACAAGGTCCTGAAGCTGTCCTCAGGTGCAAAGTTAGGTGAGCACTGCTGTCCTTACCACAATCCCCTGATGGAGCCACGCTCCAGAGACGGGCAGCAATGAATCTGCAGATGCCTTCCCAAGGTGACAGCGCTCGCCCTCCCTCCCACCTGCAGTCAGGGGATGTGAAGGCAACCATTGCTGTCCTCGGCTTCATCATCTCCAGTGCAGCCAAGCACAGTATAGACAATGAGTCTCTGTCAAGTGAGCTGCAGCAGCTGGGACTGCCCAAAGGCAGGGGAAGCCCTCAGGGTGGCACCATCAGCCAGACCTGCTGGGATGTTGCTTACAGTTCCCAGCCCTGCCTTCTTCACACCCAGATGGAGGGCAGGCTGCCTGCTGTGCTGTCCTCCATCACCTCCCTTCTGTACCATCAGTCCCTGGGGGCTCCTCAGGTGCTTTGGTGAGGTTTGGCAGCGGCAGGTCTGGTGTGAGCAGAGGGATTCTTCTCTTGTCTCCCCTCATAAGCAAAGCATGTCAGCCAGCTGTGCTGTTTTACATGTGACTGACCCACAAAATTGCAGGAGACTGAGGACTCGTAACAGGTGCAGGACAGGTTCAAAAGGAACTTGGGACAAAACCTCTGTCTTTGTCAGTCCAAAGGGACAGCAGAGCTTACATCTGCTCACAGTAATCCTCTGGAGAGTGGAGCAATGTTTGTATGGAAAGATGACTGGGGGTAAAATCAGTGGAAACCGAGTTACATTTGTATCCTAACAGGAGCTATAATGGGACAGAAATTTTAGGGTAAAATACAGATGCTGTTCCCAGGATGGAGCTGGGTTGGCATGCTCCACGATGATTCCCCATACAACCATAAGGACCTGCGAATGGGGGTGGAGTGGAATGGGGCACCACAACCAGGCTCTGCCAAAATCTTTGCAGGGGCAGCAACTCCATGGTACTTTGAAGCTTATTAACTGCATAGCAAGGGCTATTTGGCATATGTAGGAACACTTTCCAACCTAATTGGTCTGAAGACCAATTTAGAGGAGGCACCTCTAAGTTGAAAGCCAGCCAGACCTTATGTTCTTAGCACCATTCATTTAGAAGAAATCCTGTGACATTTGCAAATTTAAGAGGTGACACCCCCATTCAGACCATGGCTCCTGGATGCGAACAATAGCTCTTCAACAGCAAGGAAATCTGCATGCCCTAGTGTCTCAAGGTCACTTCACCTGCGAGTCCAGAGACCCAAATCCAGCCAGAGTCCTAGTTCCCAGAAAACTTCTGCTATAAGAAATCCTTCAAAGTGTGTAATTCTAGGAGTGGAAATCCTACAGGAAACACGAGGCTTCAGGCTGCAAATGGGATCTCTTTTCCACACAATGGAAAACTCAGCAAGCCCTTCTGGCAAGACCAGTTCACAGGAGGCCCACAATTCTCAAGGGCCAGGCTTGAGAGATCCGACTCCATGGAAGCTTTAATCTGAGAAAAATCCTGTGATGTTGGTACTTTTAAAAGGCAGAATGGCACATTTAGACCCTGGCTGATGCTTTGGAGAGTGATTCTTTTACACAGTAAATAATGATTTCATTCCAATGTCTGTAGGTCACTTTGGAAACAGCCCCTGAAACCCAAGACCAAGAAGAGCCATACTTCATGGCAGCTGCCATCTGGGAGGAATCCTATGCATTTCTATGAAGACAAAGAGGATTTCACCTTTCAGAGAAGAAGTATTTTTCACAGCTAATTTTATTTCCAACTACACCAAAAACAAGTGTTGACAATTAGTGTCTTAAAAGCTACAAAATCAGGATTTCAACCCAGCAAGAGATTTAGCATCAACTCTATGTTCGATTACAAGTCACCATCCAACAGGACCTTCTCTAGAATGTTGAATGTTAGCAATTTTCACTCTACGTACTCAAGGTGTGCTGTATCTCAAGTATCAGTGGAATTTTGTCTAAGGGACTCATCAATAAATGAAGGCATTTGTATATTTAAAAGAACCACAATTATGGTATTACTGGTATCAATTACTGTGAGAAGAAGCAGCTGTTTCTCAGTATAGAAAAGTGATGGCAAATGTGAACAGGAATAATTAAATATGTAAGTGTGGTATTAAGTGCAGGCCTCAGGTAGGATTTTAGTGGTTTGTGGGTTTTTTTGGGGGTTTGTTTTGTTTTGGTTTTTTTTGGTGTTTTCTTTTGTTTGGTTGGTTGGTTGTTTTTTTTTGTTTTTTTTTTAAAGTGCTTTGCATGATCCACCATCAAAAGAGGCCTGTATGAAGATCAGTACTAGCATGGTTGATATTACAGGAATAGAAAAGTTAAGCATTCACACAGTCAAGCTCTGATTTGAAAATTATATTAAAAAAAAAAAAAGCCAAGGCCCATACATTTAGATACAGAATTGAAATGTTTCTACACATCTTAGAATACAACAAAATAACGTTACACTCAGATTAAGAGAACGAGCCTGTTCTGAAACAATTTATAAAGTCCACAGCAAAGCTATTGCTTCACTTCCATAATGTAAACACATCTGAAAGAAGAATATGCTGACAGTTTCACAGATGAGATTATAAGTCAGTAAAACCAAAAAGCAATTGGTCATACAAAGCTTTTGTCTTTTACAAGGCTTAGCTTACAAGCTCAGGCTGTACATTTATTCTTCGAAGGACGTCTTCTGGCATACAAAAGACAGGATTGACAGCCTTAATTTGTTCTTCTCCTAATAAAGATAGTCCAGCAATACCAAATAAGGTGTGAAATGGATCCACCTGGAAGAAAAATGAAAGCTTGTGTCTGTTTCCAAAAGTCAACTTTTATTCACTTGTATGGAATGAAATTTTCATTTGCCAGCAAGACAACAGAAAATCTCCATGGCTTCTCTGGGGAAGACAATACAACTGAATAAATTTTCATTTGTGCTAACATGTGTTAGGCAAGAAATTTCCATAACCAGCAAATACAATACTGTGATTTACTCAGGCATGTTTGTCAATTATCTGCTGCTGATAATTGACAAGCATGCTGAGATGATTTTCAACTCCGCTGCTGAGATGATTTTCAACTCCGAGTTAAAAAGCACTCACATTTGTCTATTAGCATGCAATATCACAGGGTGGTAGACGCAAAGACAATTAACATTTTAAAAGTAAACTGGATCATCTACAGGTACCGCTTCCATAAATTGCCCATTTGTTCTTCAGAAACATCATAATGCTCTTTATTGGTCTCCAAATACAGAGCCGAGGTGTAAAACCTTGAGAGGGAAGCAGCAACCTATTCTGCTAGAAAACCTCCCAGAACTATAAATAAAAACAACCCCCTCCCAAACCTCTACTCCTAAACCACAGGACCACCACCCCCTCTCCCCCCTACAAAACAAACAATGAAAAAACAACCCAAACACAAAATACCCCAAAACAACAAGGTCTGTTAGGACTGAGTTTCTGCAAGAATAAAGCAAAAACCTGGGAGCCAACATTTCTTCAGGAGTAGAAATTTCTACACTTCAGCAATTGAAGACAGGTAAAAATAATATTAAATGACTGTTAATGTAACATAGAAAAACTGTCCCAAAGGTGCTCTTAGTTATAGAGAAAAGGCTCTTCAGAGATGCTCTTCCAAGAAGATACACATAATTACTCAAAGATAGAAAAGCATTTAAACTTAAAATTCTGGAGATTTCTTCAAGAATTCTGAAAACAGAAAAGGTCTTCCTGTAAGCTCCTTAGAAATACAAAACTCTTCCTATTTTAAGAACACAAAAACACTTTCCAAATGACAGACTGGAGTTAACAGATTTCTCCCCCAACTGGGAATAAAGTAGCTGCTTGCAAAAAAAATAAAAAGTTCCTTTATTCTTTAATGCGTTTGTGGAGAAGGGAGCAGACATGGGCATCTGCAATAAAAACCTTTCAAAAACCTTTCAGCTGCAATAAAAAGCCAATACGTTTCCAGACCATTAACAAATAAGCCAAGTGTTCAAAAGGAATGAAGTCTCACAATACTTTTTATTTTATCTGTCCAGCACTCTTGAGAGATAAAAACTTTATTTGCCATTTCACTGGGACAGTATCAGTTACTTCCACTTGAAACCAAAGAGAACAGACTGGCTAAATTTGAGAACTGCTTTCTCAACAAGCAAAAAATCCATAGCACCAGCCTCTTGACAATGTTATCACAAAAGCTTCTTCCTCTCTCAGCTAGACAAATGTCAGCTACAAGATTTATTCAGTGGCTGGGCTAGCAAAGAATGAAAGTTAGTGTATAGGGATTCTTAATAAAAACTCTTGATTTAATTAGATCACACAAAACCACCAAGAGAGCTGAAGACTATTTAACCTACACCAAATTTTAGCTTGCAGACCATTTCACAAAACAAAATAATAAACCCAAAGAACCCACACATGCACCAGAAAACCCACCATCAAACAGAGCGTTTTTACATACATCTTCCAAATGGTCTTGTGAGAAATGGTTTGTGTTGAGTGTGTTATGAGGGACCAAACCAGATTTTGTAAGGAATGGAACTGACTTCACTGGGGGATACATGTGCGTTATAAAGAATGTGCTCCCCAAGTACGCCTTCAATGGCAATTCTACACTATTCTTTCTTCAGAGTAAACTGCAGCCTCTGCAAAACCCACCTAGACCATGAGCTGAGTTACACTCAAACAAAAGTTGATATTTCCAATTGAAATTTTCATGTGTATTTTATTTAGAAAAAATATCACTTACCATATCTCCTGGTCTGTCAGCAAATCCTCCAGACTCCTCATCCTGGCACGCCAAAATAAAGCAGCGCAGTTTCTCTCTGTCAATCCACTGTATCCTACCAATCATCTTCAAAGAAGCTAGCACCCACCATGAATAACATACATCAGGTAACTGGCAAGCAGAGAGGCAGATTAAATATTTGCCTGGGTTTTAAACATAATGTTGCAAATTTTACTGGTAATTCTGCACATTATCAGATGTGCTATCATAATACTCTTGCAGACACAACACTTTAGAGTGTCTTTGGAGTAAAAGAATTTCTTGACAGAGTCTCTTTTCAGCGGACTTCTGTTTTCAGGAAAGGAAACTATCTTTTTCAAACTTCTTCAAGAAACAAGATGACAAGAATGTGATTTTTAAAGACTTCACCTTCTGTGAGAGAGGCTGAAAATCCACAGCATTTCTTTGAAGAGGAAATACAGAGAAGTTCATATCAACTATTTGTATTTTGGGGGCAAGGGGGGGAAGCAGGGAATCTGTTGGTTGATTATCTATTTGCCAGACATTATTCTAGGTTACACAAATCTCTAGTGTGATGTGGAACACTGTGACACTCAGGATTTACATCCAGTAGAACAGCAATGTTTATACAAATCCTACAGAAAGCTTCCCCAAGTCAGAAAATATTAAAGACCCAGTATAACAGGATAATGGTTCAAATGGCCAGCAAGATATCCTTCAACATGTGTACTTTGCTATACTGAGGACTCAAATGAAGCATAGCTAAGGACTGCATAACAGGTGTTAGTAACAAGAGAAAGAATCAGGATGAAGGCCTGACTTCTTTGAAAAGTTTACTAAATGTTTTATAGAAGTCATAACATTTTGCAGTAGTTCAGCTTCAGAAAAAGCAATCTCCATTGAGGTTTGAACAAAGAAAAGAAGCCATGAAATACCTTCTCTGGTCGTCCGTTGAGACCTCCAGATGGTAACTGACGTTCACAAAGCCACCAACCCAGCAAGTCAACATTTACTTGATGCAACTGGTCTGTTATAGCCAGAAATCCTGTGCAACAATAGATCTAAAATTACAGACATAAATTTTTTGTGTATTTAATAACTAAATACAGTTTAGCAGACTAAATGCAGGAAGATCTCAAAGCAGCAATACAGTCATATAAACAATGCAAAATAAGCTCACACACATTTCAACTTTTAAAGACTTTTCCTTTAGAAAACCATGTTATTGTTATAGTTCCTTTTGTAAAAAGGTACCAGTAGCACAATTTGTAATATTTCACTAATATAAGACAGTAATGCAAGGTTTGGAACGTAATCCTAGGAGATTCTGAAAGAGCCATATGATTTTATTTTAAAAACACAGACTCTCAAGCCAGAGTAGTCAAACCAACTTCTGCAGGCTGGATATGGCATTTATAAAAATTTTACATCCAGTCTATGGTTTGTTCCTGTGTACCTGCCTTCTACCCTAATGCTTGCAAACAGTAAACAAAAGACCAAATGAACTCCCTAACAGAAACAGGCTAACTCAGATCATTAACTGTCTTTGCAATTCCCTATGTGTACGGTCAGGCTTACTTTCAAAGTGCCATGTAATGTACCTGCATTGATTAATCCCCTTTTAATTTTATTAATCTCCTAAATTAATTAGTTAATAGAATTAATTGATAAAATTAATTGTATTAATTTTAATTTAATCCACTTTTAATAATAATTTTAAAATTAATAGCTTTTTCCTGGGAGATACATTTACGATGCAACAGCATATTTTGGTCACATTTTATGCAGTCGCTAAGAAAGCAGTGAAGCACAAAAAGCCAAGAATCATGGAATCATTAAGGCTGGAAAAGGCCTCTAAAATCATCAAGTCCAACCTTTAACTGAATACTGTGACTGTGGTCACAAGGGTTTGCAGGTGAAGAGAGAGGCAAGAATGTTGATTCTATGATCAGAAGGCTTGATTTATTATTTTATGATATACATACTACATTATAACTATACTAAAAGGAATAAAAGGAAAAGTTCTCAGAAGGCTAGCTAAGCTAAGAATAGAGAAGAAAAGAATGATAACAAAGAAGCTCTCTCCGACTCTGTCCCAGAGAGAGCTCGGTCCTTGATTGGCCATTAATTATACACATCCAACATGAGCCAATCACAGGTGCACCTGTTGCATTCCACAGCAGCAGATAACCATTGTTTACATTCTTTTTCTGAGGCCTCAGCTTCTCAGAAGGGAAAATCTTAAAGAAAAGATTTTTATGAAAAGATGTCTGTGACAGAATACCACCAAATAACACTACACTGTATCAGGAAGTGCCACATCTACTCATTTTTTGAACACTTCCAGAGATGGACACTCCACCACTTTCCTAGGGAGTCTGCTGCAATGCTTAACCACTCCTTCAGTGAAGAAATTCTTCCTAACATGCAGCTTGAATCTCCTGCAGTGCAACTTGAGGTAATTTTCCCTCATCCTGTAACTTAATGACTGTGAGAAGAGGCCGATCCCCCACCTTGCCACAACCTCCTTTCAGGTAGTTTCTCCTGAACCTTCTTTTCTCAGGCCTAAACACTCCAGTACCCTCAGCTGCTCCTCACAGGCCTTATGTTCCAGACCCTTCTCCAGCTCTATTACTCTTCTCTAGACATGCTCCAGCACCATAATCTCCTTTTGGAAGTGATGGGCTCAAAACTGCCTACAGGACTGGAGGCGCCTCAGAAGTGCCAGCACAAGGGATACCACCTGCCCTGGTGCAGTGACCACACTGTGGCTGGTACAGGTGCCAATGGCCTTCTTGACCACCTGCGCACACCTGGGCTGATATACAGCTCCTGTCGACCAGCACCCTGAGTCCTTTCCTGCTGCTCCAAACCTGGAGCATTCCACAGGGTTCTTGTGACACAGGACCCGGCACTTGGCCTTGCTGGACATCACACAGCTGGCCTTGGCCCATGGATCCAGGCTGTCCAGAGCCTTCTGCCCATGAATCAAAACTCCCACACAAACTGGTCCTTCCTGTGACTTACTGAGGATGCACTCGATTCCTTTTTCCAGACCACATGATGAGGATATCAAAAAGGACTGGCCCCAAAACTGAGCCCTGGAGAATCCCATTTGTGATCCTTCACCAACTGGATTTAACATCACTCCCCAATACTCCCTGGGTCTGGCCATGCAGCCAAGACTGCACCCTGTCCAAGCCATGGGCTGCAGCCTCTCCAGGAGAATTCTGTGGGAAAGCATGTCAAAAGCTTTACTGGAGTCTGGGTAGACATATCCACTGCCTTTCTCTCATGTACTAGGCAGGTCACCCGCTCATAAAAGGAGATCAGGTTTGGCAACATTCCCAGAAAAATACTGAACCTTCATGGAGGTGAAAGAGAGAGCTTTTTAAGGGGTATGTGAATATGCATGATAATCCTAATCCTCACAGAAAATGCCAGCTGCAAACAGAGTGGGTTCAGCTGTGGAACTGACTTCCTCAAACACTAGAACATGGTCCAGCCATTTAGACTATATGGGCAATGCTATTGTACATTAAAACTATAAGGTAATTACATGTAACAGATTTAACTTTTTTCCTGATTTAAAACTAAGAACGGGCAGGAAACCCAACACTTATCAACAAAATGCCTTTAATATTTTCATGTGATGAGGTGAAGCCTAGATATGGCATTACTCACCCTAATTATGCAAAATTAACAGGTAACTGCAACAGCATTTAAAGTTGATTTTTTTTCACATATTCAGGTTAAGTGCACTAAACTTTTCTATGAAAAAAAATACAGGAAAGGTAAGTTTAAATTTATTTCCATTATGTAAATTTCTTGTTGAAAGAAGTTATTTAGATTGTCTTCCTCGTGAGATCCCTTAATTTTTTCTAATTATACTACTGCATTTTTTTCTCAAGTGCGCTTTATTGAGCTATTTTCAGAATTCACTGTCACCAGTAACAGTGTGTAGCACTAGTGATTCTAGCTGAGAAATATGCCCATTACTAAGTTAGGTATGTCATCTAAAACTGGCTTTCCTCAAAAAATTAAGTAATTCTTTACAGGATTCATGTCTGATTTTTATTTGGGTTCATTGGCTGATAAATTTTAAACAGACTATACAATTAACGTTTATGTCTCATTATGACTTCTGTCAGAAAGAAGTGATAAATCTTGTTCACCGTCTCCATTGATACCCATTTCAAATTCTCTAAAAATCCTCATGCTAGCAATTTCAAAATCACTACGTGAAGACTCAAATACAGTCCTAAAAGCTGTTCTATTACTGTCTTTTTTCCTACCTAAACTCTCAAGTCTCGACTCACCTTCCCAGATTAGGTTACTTATCTGTTCATTTATTTTAACTAAGACACTAGAATCAGGCATTTGGGAAACAAGAGGTACATCCACTGTCATCACTGATACATGTTGTAAAGAAACATTTATAGCCAGTATGTGATGCTTGCTAATTTAAAGTATTTCCATATAAAGAGAAACTCACCTGTCCTGCATGTGATTCAGAACCTGGTCTACAACCAAATCCTCCATCGAAGTTCATACAGGACAAAACGAATTCAACTGCTTTTCCCACATCAATAGCATCCAGCTTTCCCTGCAAGTCAGAAAATAATTAATGCACTTGATCTCCTATCAAGCTGATCTTCTGCAGAAACTTCAGCAGTACCAAAGAGCAGTACCAATTGATTCTCTACTTATGCAGGTGATGGTTTAGGACTTACCAGAAGTGCAAGAGTTGCTGCAGCACAGAAAGAGAACCTTGTATCTATTTCTCCTATAATGTAGGGGATAAGGAATGAAATAAATTATTTTTTCAACATACATTTAAATCACTACTGAAAGTACAGAACAAAATGCTAAAATCCTAGGTTCTACATCAAAAAACAAAAATCAGCTAAAAAAAATCTCCCCATACAATTTAATTTTCCAGCTTACCAATTATTTCCCCAGTAATTTAGAAAATATACATTACCATTTAAGTGATCTGTATGTTTTACTGTGCATAAAAGTCAACTCATTTACAGCTGGACAGCTATATATCCAAATCAATTCAGCTAGTGGTAATTTACAAACAGCTGTTTAATTTTAGAGCTTTTCTGTAGTGCTCTACAGACAGTTGCAGAGCAATGGAAATAATGCAAAAATAATCAGACAGCTCTTGCTTTGCCTTAAATCCAGCCGGAAGTAGAAGCCATTTCTTGTTTTAGGGGAAATCTAATAAATGTTACAAGGCTTCTTTTGCATATTTGTACCTGGAAGAAAAACCTAAGCTCCTACACCTTTAACAGAATGATTGCTTGTCACGTCCAATATAACTCTTTTAGCACAAACTCTAGGCAATTAATACTTGAAGTCACAATTTAAAATTCAACTGAGCTGCAAACATTCTGTTTCTTGGTCAAACTTTTGCAAGACTTCTGTTCTTAAGAAATTCACAAGCTGAAACACAAAAACCAAGTATCTGCTGCTCCATCCTACATCAGAGATCACACTCCCTCAGCTGCGCCTCTCGGAATATTTCAATAAAAAGGGCGCAGCAAACCATGAACAATTTAGTGCACAGCATATTGTCTACCTTTACAGTAGCATACATATACTGCTAAGATCTCAGTTGCTGAATTTTACCTTAACAAGAATGATACACAATAGATTTTCTTAAAATTTAGGTCATCCATGGTGATAAATACCTTGAGAGTGACTAAACATTTATGCCACAGCTTAAAAATGCTGTATTTGTTCATAAAGAATTTATATGCAGAAACAAAATCAGTATTAAGGGAAGTTAATGAGTACAAACCCAGTTTTTCTCACTCGCACAAAGTGAAAAATCCTTTCATATTTGACATGGATATAAGTCATTACTAACTACCATCAAATAGCAAGTATAAAACTTTCCTTTATGAAAGAGTGTATCTAGTATTTCAAAGTACTGTTAAGTTAAAAATGCCCGAAAGTTTTCTTCGTCAAGACATTTTATTCGTAATACAAGAATGGAACTGAAGTTGAGAATATTTAGAAAGGAATGAAACATAATTCTGTCCTTCACAAACTCTTCTTTTTCATGACTCAGAAAATAAAAGTGTTCTCATATAATACTTATGCAAAAAAGACCATCCAAGAAAACTTTAGTTTATAGACTTACACAAGTCAACCTAGACACTACATTTAGAAGATCTAAAAATTACCCCATTCATCTCCAGCAAACGATCCATCTTCTTTCTGCAAGCTCTGTATATATTCAACAATTTTATTTACATCAACTACATGGAGACTATCATATAAAATAAGAATCTGGGAGGGGAAAGAAAGGACACAGTAATAATCAAAGAGGAGCAAAAACTTTAAAAACTTATTTCTTAACAAAAAAAATCAGGGATTTATAAAAGACATGATTTAATTAACTCTGAATACTATTTGATAAGGTTTATTAAACATTTTTCCCACTTTGGTAGTTAATCTCTGCACTGCAGATTATCTTTGTCTAAAACCTTTAGGACATTCTCAAAGGGAGACAGAAACAATTCAAACTGAACTCTATCACGCTTTGTTACTTTACAGTGTTGAGGTCTCCTTTCAAAAGCACAACCAGGTTTATTTATTTTATGTCAGCAATATGTAGAACAGATATTTGATTTTGGTCAATATTGTGATGGGACAATGACACCTAGGATACACCATTTTGTAGTTTTGCACTGTGACTACTTGGATATGTGTATGTTAAGTTACTAACTCCACTTACAGGGCAAACTTATCAACAATAACTTGTTTCAAATTATTAGATTTTTATTTAGATTAAAATTTTAAATTTAATTAATAGAACCAAAATGCAATAACTTAAGTATGAACAATATGATTATCCACCAACTGTAGAGTGAATATATTCTGGAAGAAAAATAAAGGTTATAGCAGGGAATACAATTTTCCAAACCAATTTCCAATTTCCACCGCTGATTTAAACCAGCAAATCTGTATGACACAATATCATGTGAAAACAACAGTACTGTTCCTGAGCCCATCTGACTTTATGTTTTTACTCATACCTTGCAAATCAGTAAAGACAGTAAATAAGAATTTATTATACAGCACAAAATAGAAAAAAACCCAGCTGAAACGAAGCAATATTATAGTACCAATCTGAAAAACACTAGACACTATGACTTTAAATCTAGTTAGCTGGGATCTTTCAATTGTTAGATAAAATTGAAGTCAAATAAAATATAAGTCTTACGGAAAATTCCAAAAACAAGAACCTACAATTCCAACAGAAAATATGTAATCACAACATGCACCCTAAATGCAAACCTGAACAAATTACTATTGAGAGAGATCACAAGAACATATGATGTGACCCTTTAAACATCCTGGATACGCAGACAGCACTAAATGCTGTTTGTTCACTAAGACCATGCATACTCATTAAGATACACTGGTTAGGTTTGCCACAAAAACTTTACATCAGCATTTGTCAACACTTTTTCAGTTTGGAGAGCTACAGCTCAATTTAGTTAACATGAAAATATCTCCTAGTAAAATCAAGTCCATATTTAAGAACTAACATATCTAATAGGTAAGGTAACAACCTCAAATTGTATCCCCTTTATACTGAATTGGAATTTGTGAAAGGAGCTGGATTGGACAGTTTGGAAAAGTTCAAACATCACAGCCTGGAAAAACTTTAGTGGCCTGGTTCTCACAGTGTATTCAGAGTAATTCTAGTGCTAAAGTGGTAATAATGATCAACCTTAGAGCATCCTGTCCTACCTAAGGGGTTCAAACCCAATATCTTAAATCCATCATAGTTTCTGCCTAGAAAAGAATGCCATTTTGGTTTTTTTTGTAATGCCATTAAAATACTTCATCCGTAAGACTGAATGAGATGCACCCTGCAAGCAATCTAGCTAATTGTTCAGAAGTGTTTGAGCCTTTTCAGTACTTTTTCACAAAATTATTTGCATCAGCAGAGCAAACAAAAACAAAAAAACAAAACAAAATAAAGGAATGAGCAATAGTGAAAAACAAGTCTATAATGGAGATAGCTGCAGTGAAAAAATAAGATCGAGAGTTCCTTCTTATCAGGGGGAGCATATGCACCAAATAAATTAAATGTTCAGCACACTAGTACAATTTTTAAATTACACGCCCCCAAAAAACTCATATAAAAATAAAAAATTTTGCTCTCGTTCTGGTCATACTTACCTGTCACCTCAACGTACACTAAGAATAATTTATAAAATCAAAAATTATCTATAAAATGCTCCAGTAAAGCCTGTAGCTAAGTATACCAAGACAACTTACTAAACTGGCAACAATGCAGTAACCATTAATTGACCGTTAAAACATTCCCAAATATGTCAATTTTTAGAAAGTAATACATCTAAATCCTACAGTTTTGTCCAGTAGATTCTTTTCTTATTAAGAAACCGAAATAATTTTTGTCACGAGCCTCCAACAGTAACTGCTTCATAAATCTGCAATCATCAAAATCTTAATCACAAACACTTTTTTGTAAAATTACCCTCCAACATTTACCTGGACAGCACTGAGGGTATACAGAAGATGAGGATCATGACCTATGCTGGCACTTATTCCACCACACTCATGTTGACATGATTTGATGAATGACAGAATTTCTTCTTTGTTCATTCGGTGCAGCTGCCCCATGAGATCCATTGCTGTCAGTCCCCAGTACACACCACTCATCCTCAAATACTCCGACATACAGTATTCCTAAACAGTGCATTATTTTAGTTCTTGATCAGATAAGCACACCATCAATGCAGGGTAATGAAAATACATTAGTTAACTTTCACAGATAGCTTCTAATTAGTCAACCGTTTTCCAACCATTTATCAACTACACATCAGCCACTCACAGATATTCTGTACATCATGCACGTGCGTATATACACGTACATACGGAAAAATGCACACGTAGATACCAAAACATACTACACTCCCTCCCTGTATTTTTCTAGTTCAAACCATCAAGCTCAATGTCAAATTAGCCACAAATAGTTGTGCACCAGTTCACTTCACATCACTTATTATCTTGACATTCAAAGAAGCCCTCAAATTGCCACCCCAACTAGTCTCAAAAAATAACAAGTCTATTTCCAAGTGCCAAAACTCACACAATTTAAAGTCACACTAGGGAGAGAAATTTCACATTGAATTCTCTTACACTGATTACATCACCCGCACTACATAAACTTTTTCACATGCACTACAATTGAAAGCAACGGTGCTTGGCATGCTCTTGTGAACAGTTAAGGTTACTGCAAGTTTTCTTCACGTACACAGTTATTGACAATTTTTACTTGCTGGAAGTGGAATCCCATTGTTGTGGACTACATCCAACCACTTACGACTGCAAGTTGTCCCATCAAAAGAGTAACATGCAAATACAACTCTACTTGTGCATTCTAGTGAATGAAGAAGCTAGTAGCTTGTTTCTCAGGTCTCAGAGTAATTACAGAGCTAAAATGATAATCTTCAAATTTATAGTCAGATAATACATGCCAAAACTCATCACAGACCTAGAGACATTAGCAAGAGCACCTTTATTTCACACTTTGGATTGCAGGGTAAAAAACTATTAGCTTTTTAACATGCATCTAACCCTTAGCTCTGAGCCAATAAATAAAGGTTATTACTGTTAACAAAACCACAGCTGTACTGTAACAAACTGATACCTACATAATCATCTTTCTTTGTTCCATATGAAGCTATATAGTCCGCATGTTTTTCTGAAAGTAATGTGCTTGGGGCATCGGGTTTAATTATAACATCCTTTTGCGGTGTCCCCTGTAAAAAGCACCAATAAGTCAGTTGAAATGTCAGGTCAAAACGTTTTAGCAACTTGGCATAAAATAGCCAACACCGGTGACTGCGACTCTGGGAAAAAACATCTCTCTAGCTATTTTGAGCCTAGGTCAGGTTGCGCATCTCACGCCATCACCGTTCAGCCTGGCCAAACCCTTCCCCAGGAAAGGCTACGAACCGAGCCTTGCAAGAAAGCTAGGAAATAACACCAACTCGCCAAGAGGACCCTGAAGCGCCGGACGCAGGAGCCCTTCCCCAGGCCCAGCCGTGCCGCCCCGCGCCCCCACGGCCCGGCCCAGCCCGAGCGCTCCCGCGGCTGCCGGAAAGGCGAGCGCCATTCCCGTCCCCCCGAACGGAGCAGCGCGACTCGCGTCTCTCCAAGGCCGCGCGCTAGCAAACAAAGCGATCCCGCAGGCGAGAGGAGCCGCAACGCCGACCCCGCTACCCACCATGGTCTCCGCAAGCACAGGAACAGGGGAAGCGGCAAAGCGGCAAAGCGGAAGGCGGCAGCCGGCGGGGCCTCGCTGTGCCCGCCCGCCGGCGGCTGCGCAGAACGGAGCGGCGCTGCGCACCCGGGGCCGCGGGGCTGCGCTGTGCCCGCCCGGCCTCGCTGTGCCCGCCCGCCGGCGGCTGCGCAGAACGGAGCGGCGCTGCGCACCCGGGGCCGCGGGGCTGCGCTGTGCCCGCCCGGCCTCCCTGTGCCCGCCCGCCGGCGGCTGCGCAGAAGCGAGCAGCGCTGCGCACCCGGGGCCGCGGGGCTGCGCTGTGCCCGCCCGGCCTCGCTGTGCCCGCCCGCCGGCGGCTGCGCAGAAGCGAGCGGCGCTGCGCACCCGGGGCCGCGTTCTGCGCTGTGCCCTGAGGGCGCGCCGCGGCGGCTGTGGCCTCCTGGCTTGCCGCAGGTAAAGTCTACTCCGGAACCGATAGTTTAAACTACACTAACTCCACCTGTGCACTTTCTTGCATCACATCAAATAAAACAGCGTTTAGAAATAACTTCGGTTTCCTTCCTCAGCTCTATGAAAAAGCAAATCCAAGAATTTAGTCGCAGGTAAAATGGGTAAAGATAACTGTGCTTTTGCTCAAAACCGTCTTTCTTGCTTCCTAATTAAAACTGCCTTGGGTGATTCTGTTTATGATTACCAGCTTTTGATTCCCCCTGAACTATACCAGGCAGAAACATCAAAGAAGTTGTAGTATGTATAATGTTGCACAGGACAGTCAAAAATAAGGTCTTACATATGTCAAATACTTACCAAAGATGTTGCATTATGACTCTTCCTGGAGGAAAGTCAGTAATTTATAGACACTAAATGCTTTCTTTACAGAACTGATTTTCCAGCTAGCTTACCCAATAAATAAGGATTGCAGAGCTTATACCTGATGATAGCATTAGTACCATCCAGTAAATTCAGATTAGATATGAAAGATACCAGACACAGGCAAGGACATTTTGGAGTGAAATTGGAAATGACTTAATAGATTAATTGAGGTTTGAAGATACCTCTTGGAATCATGGAGCACAACCCACCTACACCAAGTAGGCTTAGCTAGAGCAGGTTATTCGAGACCACTACCTGTTGAGTTTTGAGTGTCAAATGGAGACTCCACCACCTCTGCCAGCATATGACAGCCCTCACAGTAAAAAAATAAGTTGTGTTCCAGTGGAATGTCGTGTATTTTAATTTGTCCCCGCTGCTTCTTGTCTTGTTAATGAGGCTGGCTCCCTCCTCTTCATTACATCCCATCAAGAATTAATGCACATAGATAAAATTACCGGAGCTTTCTCTTGTCCAGGCTAAAAAGTTAGTCTCGTCTCACATGACAGATGCTTCAGGTCCTTACTAGTTTTCTAGCCATGTGCTAGACTCCCTCCTTTAAGTCCCCATCTTTCTTATACAGGGGAGCCTAGAACTGGATGCAGTATAGCCTCACGTATCCAGTAATTTGTCCAAAAACTCCAGGGAATGTCTATTCTGCCAGCATTGCCAAGAAAGGTCTATCCAAGGTTAAAAAAATAAATCTCCAAATTCCTTCTTCTTGGCTGTTCTTGCTGCAAGCATAGTTAAGTATATGCATTGATGGAAAGGAATAATAGGTTTATATATACAAGACATGAAGCTATTAGACAGCATCCTAAGGAGGGCAGTGAAGATGGTGAAGGGCCTTGTGGGGAAGCTGTATGAGGAGCAGCAGAGGTCATTTGGTCTGTTCAACCTGAAGAAGAGTTGGAGGGGAGACCAGTCACAGTCTACAACCTCCTTGTGAGGGGAAGAGGGACAGACACTGATCTCATCTCTCTGGTGCTCAGGAACAGAACCTGAAGGAATGGTTGGAGCTGAGTCAGGAGGTTTAGGTTTGGCGTTACGGGAAGGTTTTTCCCCCAGAGAATGGTCAGGCTCACCAGGGCAGCGGTCACAGCTCCAAGGCTGTGAGAACTCAAGCAGCATTTGGACCATGCTTTTGGGCACAGAGTGGGATTTTTGTGCAGGTCCAGGAGTTGGATTTGATGGTCTTTGTGGGTCCCTCCCAACTCTGCATACTCTCTGATTCTGTGTTTAAATATACTGGATTTTAAATAAGAAACATATTGTAAGTAATTGTTAAGGGAAAGCTACACATTCTCATTTGAAGTGATTCATCCTCATGTAATATGTACATGCTTCAGAGTGTAAAGGCCAGAATCTGACTAGTATATAAATCCCCAGCACAGACAGTAGCAATGCAGGCTTTCCTGCTGCTCAACTGGAATGGCTGTTCAGCTGCTTGGGGCAAGAGCATAGAGAAACTGAAATACAGCTATTACTGTACTTCAGAAATAGTATTTTGGGTTAGTTGTCCAGTGAAAGTGATATGACAAACAAAATTAATACAAACCAACCACACTTCTCTTAAAAATATTTTATTGAAATGCAGCATTGACTGTCAAAAATTACACTCTGATTATCTTATTTTATACTGAGAACAGAATCAGTGCTTAATAATGAACAGAATAAAAATATTATGAAGGAATTTTATCTCTTTTTAATTCTATTGAGAAACACATTAAAATCTTCTTCCATAAGAACACAGAACACTACAGCAGCACCAGACACACTTTATACATTTCTTTAAGCCTTATATTTGCCAACATGTTCACGAGCTATGATCATCCTTTGAATCTGAGCAGTTCCCTCATAAATCTGAAAAGAAGAATTGCAATAATGTTACTGGGTGATTTTTAAAAAGGTTTTAACGGGTATACATTTGTAAACCTCCATGGCACTAATCCAGTGTGGATTAGGATGTGCAGGAAGACAGAAGAAAACAGAGGAAATTCCAGTGTACCGGAGTAATCACAGTGGGCTAAATTAAATGTAAATCATACAAGATACTGAGAAAGTCTTGTTCTCTCAGGTGCACCTATCTAAAGCCAGTAGGGCTCTTATGAAAATAGGTGACAACATTCCTCTTATTTAAGGAAGAAAATACATTATTGAGATTTTTTGAAGTAGGATCTGAAATCATGGGTAGAAGGGAAGAGATGATTTGTCCTAAAGTGTTTTCTTTAACTAGCCTTTCAAGGTCTGTTGTCTTTGATCCATTTATTTCTATTGCTTCTTGTCAACTAGTACTCTCTCCCACACAGTTTTGTTTGTGGTTTTCTTTATTCTTGCATTTTCTTCTAGAAACAGCCTGCATCATCCCTCTCTTCTGTTTGTTTGCTGGCAGCAAAGTCAAAAATAGATAAAAAAGCACCTATAAAGTTCTAAAGCCAATGGAGGACATATGCTCCACAGGCATACTGCAATGTAATGCAAGGGCTGAGGCAACATAGTCTAGAGATTTTAATGTTTCAGCTCCCAGTTCTGCCAAAACTTGGTTTGGCAAAATGCCGGAAATCATGCAAATTCACTTCTAGGAATAATCTTTCCAGGAAACTTAAAGAGCATTTTAAAAATAAGAATCCTATCACCTGTGTTCACATTAGTGTTCTGGTTCAGAACAAGCTGTTGATTCCCTGCTGCTGCTTACCCTGTGTTGATCCAGTCCACAGAGCAGACTGTGTTTTGTGAGTACCAGGTGCCTTCTGAAACCAACTGAAATAGAAGTCTGCTTTCTCTCTATACTAAACATTCACCAATCCCTAGAAAAGCCCTAATGGTACAAGCCTACAGCTGGCCCCTAACAGCTGGATGCCTGTCAGGGACACACATCCCAAGGGACGAAACAGGCTTGCTGTGAACCCGGCCTGCTCAAACTGCTCAGAGTGCGGCTGTCAGAGTCTCAGCAGCTGCTCCTGCAGTCTACCAAACTGCTCCTACTGCACTACACTTGCACTTGCTGGTGGGCACAGCCATGGAAATCAATCAAAGATATCACAACTCACAATCTCAGTAAGTTATTACAGGAAAGGTTTTGGCTTGTAAGCTGATGGAAACAGTTTCAAGACTCTCTGACAATTAAAGAAAGGAAGTTTTCCAAATTTAAGAGTTTCCAAACCTAAGAGTTTTTATCAAAGTAGCCAAGATTTCTACCCGGACAAAACTAGGGCACAGTAAGGACATGTAAAAATGTTATCAGTAAACACAATAAAAGGATTGTGTAATACCAAAAACGATCAAACATATGAAAGATAATTTGAAAAATCAAGTTTTTCTGCATGCAATGTATGGCCAAAAGTATATACCATCTGGAATTGAGCAGTAACACAGCAAAGCACAGTGAAGCGTAAGATATAATCAAGAGACATGGACAAAATGATTGCAAGACAAAACCCCTTCCTGAATTCTTTTGGGGATGAAATGGAACTGACAAGTCATCAAAAATTTAATACTACATCTGATTAATTACAAAAACAAACCTACTTAGCCATGCATTTAGATCACTGTAATGAAAAAACTACGTAATAATGGAATTTTGTCAAATCAGTCTCAATCAATCTGAGTTTCAACCCTTGCACTATCATTCTCTAAAAAAGCATGCAATTTGACAGGAAAAAAATCCCAATCATAGATTTCAATTAGTCATTCATTTCCTCACTCACAGAAGTGAAGTTAGTTATAGGGACCTTTGGATACCAACATAGCAGTTGTCTTTCCTTAAACTGAGAAAAATAAATTCTTGGCTAGTGGCAATATTAGTTTGCATTTGCAAGTCAGCTGTAAGACAAATATTAACTGCCTAGAATCTTGGACTGACAGCTGTTATAGCTAACAATCATTAGAGGTCATGGTCTATGTGCATTTCTTGAAATCCTCTACTTTGGATTTCAAGTAGAGGATTTCAAGAAATGCAAAATCTTGACATCTAACACTGACTACAAAAGTGTAGTCAGTTTTGTAGTCAGTGTTAGATGTCAATGAAGATTACTGGTTTTGCTGAATGAAATTAAAATATTCTTGCTGAATTAAGAACTGCAGCATAGTATATGCCAATATACTAGTTACAACATGACATGGAATAATTTCTTGACAGTAACACTGCAGTAAAAAACCTGGGTGATTACAGC